AAGCTAAATTAAAAATTCACATAATAGAAAAACTACATTCAATAACAATCTCTGTTTATATAAAAATTTAAATATTTTCTATGGATCACTTCCACTCAGAATTTAAGTATATTTAAATATTCAAATTTTTTCTATAAATTATTTTCATTCAGAATGTAAGTAAATTCTTTATGCTTAAAGGTGGGTACAAAGTTATTCTAATGTCACAAAAAATACTAGTTTTTAGTTTATTCAAGATCCTGTCAACTACTAAGAATACTTAATGTCACATATTTTTTCAGAGACAAGCTTTATCAAATGAATATCTATATCAACTACCAAGATTATTTATTTCAAACTTATAATTCAAGGGCTAGGCCTTTTCTATAGGTTTGAATTAATGATGAACTTTGTGTCATGAATATTAAAGAACTAAGCTCTATACATAGGTCAGAATTAATCACCATAATGTCTGGTTTTAAGGTTATTCAAAATTTAAGCTTTAAGTTTTAAACTTATTAATGAATCAGAAGTGCTACAATGAACATCTAATGTATATAAGTTCAAACATAAATATTAATTTTCATTTAAAAAGTTAGGAATTTAATAATTTTAGTAACAATAAGCATACATATACCATAAAATACTTGGCAAGTAAAAACAGTCTCATCTACAAAAATTCAAACTTAACTATAAATAAAACAGCAGATATACACACAATAAACAGGTAAACCAACTTTTTGTTTTTTGAAGGTAGATACATTAATAGCTTTATTAAACAGGTTATTCATACAAGCTAGCTTTCTTGTAGTATATCTATATCTGTTGTATCTACAGTAGGAAAAAAAATTGTATTTCATGTTTGTTGTTTTTATGACATGACCTACTTTAAACATACGACTTTCAATTATTTCCAGCAAATGTTTTAGACCATCTTTAATGTTTGTCAACAGCTGAAACAACTGATCTGTCTTCAGTTGGTACTGAGCTTGCTTCTCTTCTTGTTCCTTCACCATCTGTTTACATTTCTCTATCCTCTCCAGTAGCTCACTGGAAGTTGTGATAAAAAACACCACTAATAATCACTGTAATATGTAAAGAAAAGAGAGCGTAATAAAAATAACTGTGAACAATTATTACTTAGTAACTACACATTGTCTATAGTTACTACATACTAAATGTTTTATTACTAGCATATTCGTAATAGTTTTCTAATCAATTTTTCAGTGCTTACAGTGTATCTACCCATGCTCTTAATATCTTTACACTTTTGGGGGAAACACCTGTATTGTAAGTTAACATTTACACATTCATAATCACTCTTTCTGGCAGATACATATATATCCTACTCTAAAATTAACATTTTCATACTATCAGTATTAATACTTTGGAGTGTAATATATTTTAAATTCAACATCTTCACATTAGTTGTATCAAAACTTTTCTTAGGAGAATACATCCTATCTTTAAGTTATATTTCCACTTTGTTTTAATATTTTTTTTCTTTTTGTCAAGTAGATACCTGTTACAAGATTTACCTTAGTATCTCTCCTTATGTGCATGTATAATTACATCTAGTTTACAACAGTAACCAGTTCTAATTTCTAAGTTATATGTACCAGTTATTCTTTCTAGGAAACAATCATAATATATGTATCTTACATTATCTATATCAGTAATTACTTTTAGTGATTACCTGTATTTTTCCATACACTTAGTACTCTACTTTAATCTGATCTATGTATATATATATAGATTTGTTTGTAATGCTCCTTTTCTCAGTAATGCCCAACTCTCTGTTTCTAACATTCTAGTTGGCTCAATGGTTTGTTTAAATCTGAAGTCTTGAGTTCAAATCCCAGTCAAGTGGGTATTTTTATAACTTTTTTAATTATTAACTCATCATATTTAGAACAAGATATTACATTATTAGGAAAAAATCAAAATAACATGATAGTTTACATTAGGGATTTGAATTATTTGTTAACCTTCAATTATAAAGACTGGGTGTCACAATGGTTATAGCGCTTGATTATAATTTGAAATTATCACATTCAAATCCCAGTCAAGTCAGGATTTTATGTTAATATTTTTATTATATTTATTTTTTTTATATATTTATTATCATATTTGCAACAAGATCTATGAATATTTGGCAAAATCCAAATACAATTACAGATTGCATTAAGGATAATGTCATATTACATAATAAACACCAGTGACTGTATGTGTCAAAAAACAATTTAAATATATTTTCAACCAATATCATTATTATTATTGATGTTTTTCACCTTCAGTAAAAGATTTTTTAAAACTTAGTCCGAACTTTATAAGCATTTTTTATGAAAAGTTGTATCTTCATGCATTTGCCATTCACCATAAAATTCATTGCCTTTGCCATCATAATTAGTAAATCGCAGGGTTAAACATTTGATCATATTGGAATATTTCTTTGAGAACTAGTTTTTTGGATAGTATAATCTATAAGGCTTTATCAAGAAGATCTGGACATAACATAAAAATTCTAATCAAGGACCACTTACAGGAGATGACCAAATATACACAAAAAATGCTGTTTTCATGAAATACTAAAAATAAGAATAAAAATTCTTTATACATATATTGTTACTATTATATAATTTATTTTTAGAAAACATATATTTAGGTTTAATTTTCAGAACAAAAATTACCTAGCGTTTACAGTCATATGATGAGCAGTCAGCTAATTTAATCATATTTTCCACAGGATGGATATTAACTAGAAAAATTTTGAATACTGATTACCTTTAAACAAACTTTCCTCTAAATATGTATACAAATAATTCTATCTGCATTTAGGCTTATCCTTTTAAAGTCTTCACATGCCTTTAATGCTTTTCCATATTACTTAAATCAATAGTTCTAGCCAGTTATAATCCATATCCTGCTATTATGATATTTGTATTAATTTCTATACCTACTGATTCCTTGTATTCTGGCTTACCCTTTACATTTTCATGTTAATTGTGTCAATCATTCTATCTAATGAAAGCCTTTATCTTAGCTATCTTTACATTTCCATGTTACTTGTATCAATTATTTTATCCACTGATTGCCTACAGTAAACATCTTTATCTCATTTTTATTTAAAAATCTTAATGATTCTTGTCTTATTCTTAATATCTTATGATATCGCTATCAATAATGTTTTCAGAAATTCCCACTGATTCTATTTATTTGTAAAAATTGCATGTTAGCAAACAAGCAATGGATTCACTTACAGGGAATGATAAGTTAATGAAGGAGATCAAGATGATGGGGAAAATAAACATTTTATTTTGGACATTTCGGATTATAAATAATCCATTTTCTAGGATTTCTGTGAAAAATGAAATACAAATAAATTTTGATGCATATACAGTGAAAAACAAAGAAACAACCAAGAGCATTGTCTAAGGTAAGTAAAAAGAAACTGAACAATTAAAAAAAGTTTCAATTGAAAAGATCTAGATTTGCCTAAATTTTGAAATTTTCCAAAGTAAAATGGATTATGAATGGCAGATATACACATTTGATAGGGGTAGATCAAGTGTTCATAGGCATGCATGGCAAGATAGCATTTAGTTTTGCCAACATAGGTGGCTGTACAGTCACGGCACATACTGTATGACCCATGGCTTAAGAAAGTGGTAGTTTCTCTTTATAAAGGAATAAATCATTTAACATGATATATATGTTTAATTGAGGGTAGTTGTATGAATTGTAGGCTCTATCTTCAAAATCAAGGAATAATGTCATTTGCAGCATTTGGAAATATTGGGTGGTTTGCTTTCTGGAATAAAAGTTGGTGTTTAAGAAGTTATATGTGAGTTTTTCTAGCAAGGTTTTAGAGTATCTGGTTTATTTCATGATGTTATGTGAAAATGTTATTCTAGAGTGGAGAGTCTGGTAGTTCCAGCAACGTCAGTAGGCTATATTAAGAAGACAAGAAATAAGATCTTGTTTATAATGGAAAGAAATTAAAATATCAATAAAAGTTTACTTGCCCAAGATAGGCATAGAGAAACCACTGCCAGAATGTCTAGAAGAAGGGAAAGTTAGGTTATTTCTACTTCACAGGTGAATCGTATATTTGGGTGCTATGAGTTTAAATATATCAAAAATTTTGAAATGTGTTCTTTCGAGAGAAAAATATTGAAAGCATCATCCATATGATACTCCTTGCTACTTATTCCCTTATTCTTTATGTAGTACCAACCTCTGTATTTTACTTCCTTGAACTCCTTTTAAATCTTCAAGTTCAGCTTCAGTCATAGCTTTGACTTCATTTAGTTGAGTTAGCTCACCTTCTACTTGCTTTTTAAGCTTCTCAAGATTAATTTTTGTCTCCTGTTGCATAACAAAACGATCTTCAATTTCCTAAGAAACAGAAAAATCAATAAATTGATACTGCAAGTATATTCTATCATTTACAATAGTCTGCCTTCTTTTTTTTCATGCATTACTGTAACATATGATATAAATTTTTTTAAATATGCTAAATAAGCCCTATGAAAATATTGCTTACAAAAACTCCAGAGGTACGTATAGAAATGTTTATGAAATCACATGAGCATAAAAGATATGATGGCTTGATTTCTCAACAAATCAAGCTAATATAGCTAAATTACAAAAACATTTATTGAACATCTTTGCTAAAATATGGTGGAAAGAAACTTGATATCCCAAAGTGCTCTTCAACATGATCCTATATGCTTTCTAAGCATTTATGTTTGGGTGACATTACAAAAAGACTTGAAAATTATTTCATACTGTATATCAGTTATTGAATAACTTCTATAACGAAACAAATTTCTAAATCATAATTTTCATATGGTTACAAGTAATCAACTAAATTAGGTTTCATATTACAATAACCATATAAAATCTTATGAAAGTTATAGCTATATTTTATTGTTAAGAGTGGAAAAAAAAACATTATGAACATTATTTGGAGAATATATAAGATAAAGAGCTTAACAAGTATAATTAAACTATCTGTAACCATAAAGTTGATAATTATATTGTTGTTTAGCATCAATTAGCTTATTCCTTGATGAATGTTTACCTTAATGTCTGCCACTCGAGTCACTTCTTTAATTTTTAGGAAAACTTTCTCATACTTGATGAATTCCTTCTCTTGTTCTCCTTTGCATGCTTGAAGTTGTTCTACTACACTTGGAGATTCAGGCAAGACAGAGATGACTTGCTAAAAAAAATTCAATGTTTCCATAAATATAACTATCTAACTGGTAACGGTAAAAATGCCACACAATTTGTTATTCAATAATACACTGACAACTCCAACTGCTGAATAAAAAATACTTTTACCTCAAACGACTTAATGAAATCTGGGTACTAGTAAAAATGCCATCACATCTGCCACTAACCAAAATATATTATTGCCTCAAAAACAAAGAATCTAGTACTCCACAAAATTCTATCACACCTGAAAGAGAAATACAGGTCTCTGAAAGTTTCCTAATTGAAACATGAAATGATAAAATCGTTTTTCAATACTGAAAAATCAGCCCATCTTTTTCCAATATAACAAAAAAAAAGAGAAAAAATACTAATAAGACACCTGTAATACATTCAACAGCATTTTTCTGTGAGAAATTGAAAACCTCTTGATCAACAAGTGAACCTCTATTAATTCTTCTAGAAAAGAAAAAAAGAAGATATAATCAAATCCTAGGGAAAGAGATGAGACAAAGACTAAAACTTGAAGAACGAGCATGTACCTCTTCTCCAAGGATGGAGGAATTCACTCTAACACACTGGAGGAAAAGCCATTGTCCACCACCTCAGTGACTGGAAACTTGGTGTGGTAAAGACTCTCTAGTTCCACTAGTAAAATCTGTGGGGTAATGTGCATATGGGAGTCCTGAGGTAGAGTGCAATAGGTGAACCAAGTTCCCTAAATTTTTTAAAAGCAAACCGACCCTGATTTATTCAATCTGATAATAGGCAGGGATGGGCAGGATCCCCTTATGCTTTACTCATGATAGTCCATGAGTGGTGGTCTAGCATAGTACTGTAATACCACATGGTCAGCTCCTAGGTGGTCTTATCGAACACCTCATTTCTACGGAGCCTGTTCCAACCTGTATTGAAGTACATTGAAATAGTGGTTGGTAGTGCAGAATTGGTTTGATAAAAAGTGGGATCCTGTGCAAATGAGGTAAGGGACCCTGAAAGGTAAAGAAGAGACAAGTGTAGCAATGAAAATACTCACCCCACTGAATAATCTAGTGGAAGTGGTTAAGATAGCTACAGGGTGTAGTTGAACACCTTCTGATAAAGATACTGCCAGATCATGCAAATAATGTGAGATAAAGGTATTCGGGGAGGTCTACATACCAGCTCATACAATGTCCTCCAGCAGGCAATTCAACCTGGCTGCTAAGGACATAGAAATGTGACTAATATGATTAGACATGACTCGTGAAAGATTTCTTGCCTTCAAAAAGAGCCTAGAATAAGCAATATGGAACAATTTCCTATCAACTTTGTCAATGTAACCAAAAGTGAATCCTGGGAAACTGAATGAATAAAAAGTCATTGTCTAGTCACTCTAAAAGCACTAGTGTAGGCAACAAACCTTGAAAACCCTCACTGGAGAGAACAAGAGATCCAACCTGATCGGCCATTGAAGTGAGAAATAGTGATCAGGTGAATTGTGAAAAGGATATATTCCCTTCTGTGGCTGACAGTATCGTTGGGAAGATGAACCGGGCTGAAGACATAGGTAAAATGATAAAGTATCCTGTGGATGATCAGCACAAACCACTCCAATTGGCAAGATCAGTAGGTTAGCAACCATAAAAAATAAACCTTCAGGTAAAGGTGATACATGACATATGATGCTAAGGTCACAAATAGGTGTTGAGAAAGGGCATGTACCGTAACCTTAATATACCAATTAGTTAACTGGAATGGTCATTTGGAACAAAAGACTTAAAGTGACTTGAGAAAGCCAGAGAGTACTAGGGACCCAAAGAAGTTTTGTCTCGAGTATCACAAAGGCTACTGTGTATAGAACGATTGTGGAAGATGCAAAACCCTTGCCAAAAAGTCAGGTCAAAAAATGAGTTATGGTTGGCACTTCTGAGTGAAGTGGGTGCAACCTCTTCTCAATACACAATTGCCAAAATGTGTGCCATTTCCATTAAAAATGTCCATCGCAGGACTAAGCAAAGCCTGAGACTGATACATGGCAACTCTAGAAATTAAACCCCAACTTCCATGCCTGAAGCATGAGCTTCTGGATAGCAGGGTGTACCATGTCATATCATGGTTTCCTCCATAGAGATGGCCAAAGAGGAAGTGAAAGAGGTGGGTACTCCCTAAGGTACCACAGAAGAAGAAACCATGGTGTAGCTGCCAATCTGATGCTATCAACAGGACCTGATTATAGGTTGGAGCAAATCATAGTAAGTACCTTGGGTTACATATGAATTGGAAGGAATTCCAAGATGGTAATTCCATCCTGACAGAATGCATCTGTTGCCAAAGCCCGAAGGTGAGGTACTGAGGACCAAATAGCCTGATACTATAGACCAGAAAAATCGATGACTGGACACCCATCTCCTATCTCTGAGACCTAACAACCGAAGGGAACAAAACCCTGGAAAAACTAGCACAACACACTCTCTCTCTACCCCTAGACCAACCAAACTCTGATAGCCATAGATCTGCTGAAGATAGAAACCCTACAGGTTGGGTGGATAATGATGTTGAAAATGTGAATTGCACAACTAATCTCAACTCAAGAACCTGTAGTGCCCATGAATTCAAAGGGTAAAGTTACCCCCACATCAAGAAATTCTCAGAGCCTAGCCCTCACAGACCTTGAAGGCATACAATAATCCCAACACCAACAGCAGTGCTCCGACTGAGCAGTGGAACTCGTGGATATGGACAGAATCTATTCTGGGTACCCATATAACGAGGGGCTAATGTCAGAAGTCGGGGCCCTTCAAAAGGGGTGGAACTAAAGGGGCTCCAATAAAAGTCGAGCTGTCAATAACAACATGGAAGCCGACAACTGAACCAATGAGCATGCTAACAATGGTTCCAGCTTGTCATTAATGAAGTTGTAGATCCTGAGAGTCTTCCAACAAGGTTTAGTTTTAGGAAAACAACACGTTGGATGTTAAAGTTGTAAGTCTGTAGTTATACCTCTGTCCCTGTAGGAGACATTGATCTATTCAGGTGAACTACCAACTCCACCTTAGAACCCCTAATTTCAAGGAGCAGATGTATTTGAGTCAAACTATATGTCCACCTGGCAGTGGTAGGCTAAATCACATAGTTCTGATGACCGTGGCAGTTAAAGCCTAGCTGTCCCGTCTCGTACTGTGCAGTAAACCTCCCTGCATGAACCATAATGTTTGTAGATGGAAAGAAAACTAAATATCTGCGACAAAAAAATAAGCCACAGAAAAATGCATGGTTGCCATTTTTCATCATCATGTTAGCTATTGTGATTTTAAAAACTAGTCTTCATGGTTGACAATCAAATATATTGGTAGCTCAAATTTGATAGGACCCAAGAACACGTGTAATGTATTTCCTGACAGCAACTTATATCCAATTAACACACTGTATACACAATGAGAATGAAATATATCAGTTTAAACGGACTTATTTTACCACGGGAATAGTTGTTTTTATCCTTCCAATACTGATTGAAGAAACAACGAACATTACATTTATAACTCATCACCTTCCTATTACATTTGAGACAACCTGTATATTACCATTTGTAAATTGTTGATTACAAAACACTTGAAGTCTTCCATGACACTGATTTTCGGATTATCCACTAACAATATTACATTTTAACCTGAGAGTTAATGCTTTTGTTTATCTCTCAATTGTGATAAGGTAATTCAGTTTAACCTTCTCAAGAAGAATGTCATATAGAATACAACATGTTTTTACATACATTAAAGTTCAATCATACTTTACCAAATAAACATTAAAACAAAATTTAAATATGTTGAAAGGTAAATAAATGTATTTTTCATTGTATTTCACAATACTAATGTTTCAATAAGCCCTCTCACCTTCCTGGGACTCACTTCACTTCTGCTCACCAAACTTCGGTGCTGTTGAGCTGTATTACGATATTCTGACAGAATTTTGTCTTTGTGTCGTTTAATTTCAACAGCCATTTCCTCTTGTTCACTAAGAACTGACTGTGTTGCTTTTTTAATGGCAAGTGCTTTCTCTTGAGCAGCTTGTAGTTTTTCAATTTCAGCCTGCTGTTCATTTATTTCTTCTTCCAACTTGTCTACTTGTATCTTAAAGATTATTTGTTCCTATAAAATAATGAAAATATTAAGTTTCAGATTAAAATGCACACACACACACACAAAGTAAACACTTGTAAAGATACCAGCATAAGATCTAATATAAAAAGGTAAACATTATCTAAAAACTTTCCCTAACTACAAACATCATATATATCCAGAAAAAAGTAAAATCTAAGATAGGACCCAACATGTTTTGAGAAAAAGAATCATATTATAAAATGATCACCTTAATAAACTTAAGATTCTGAGATCAATGATGTAATGTAACAAAGGTAAATCCAGCATAATAAGCTCTTGCTATTTTGAAACATGAACAGTCAATTCACTGTTGGAATGCAATATATTAAAAATCACTGCTAGAAAACCACTGGCCTTAATTTTAATCACTCAGAAAAATAATTCTGGCTCATTTCCATAACTGCATAATGGTGAATGAGTGATTACAGAGTCTGTGTCAGGATTTTTAAAAAATCAACCTGAATTGTAACTGCATGTAATTGCTTGTAGATGCTATAGAAAAATCCACCTAAATGAGCTTGGATGCATGTCTAGAATAAATTACTTGGAATTCCAAAAATAAATGTTTAACTAACAGAGTCATAACTGATTACAGTGTAGCATCTGCTAGAAACAATCACAAAGACTCATCTGTATAGAATATTGAATAAATAAAATGAATGATGGGAATACTGTGCAAGGAAATTGTATCAAAGTTATCTAAGTAGCAATATATGTTAGAAAAAAAAATCATCTATGTTTTAAATGGGTAACAGTACAACTTCACTAGATATAAACAACTCTAACCTGTGTAAGAGAATGTTGAATGAATAGGAACAACTTCAAAGACAAGCACATGTTAGAAAAAAAAATCATCTATGTTTTAAATGGGTGACAGTACAACTTCACTAGATATAAACAACTCTAACCTGTGTAAGAGAATGTTGAATGAATAGGAACAACTTCAAAGACTAGCACGAATAAGAGAATTTTGAATAAATGGCTGTTAAACAGTGATAGTAACTAGCAACAAATCTTATAGATAAGAGTATTAGCTTCTAACAGTTCTCAACAGTGTAAGATACTGACGAATAGGAAAGCTAGAACCTATACTTAAAACTTGCTAGAATGGTTAATAGCGTTCATATAAATCACTACTTTGTCTAACATTTATGACATACAGGCATACCAAATGTCTTATACCTGCTTTAATTATACAGGAATTTTTAAAAGTTCTTGTTTATCTAGTTTCTATGCAGTTTTACTAAGCATAAAAATGTGGTCCTAGAAAATCACTAAGATTGCCTTATTCTAGTTGTTTTGCTTCTTTGTTGTCTATATTAGATAATGTCTATTATGCCCATATATATATATATAGCAGTCACATACAGTATCTAGGTTAAAAGGATTAGTGACTGTAATACCCTTTGCTAGAGGATGTGCTGTTATCTGATTGTTACAACTGATCAATTCTTTGAGAGCACAAAAATCATGAGGTGACACTATTGTCTGGACAGAGAAACTGAGGTTATTTCTTAAATTCAAGCATGATTTCTTGGTCTGAATTTTTTATTAACTGAAAATTCAAGATTATTGTTTTTAGTTCAATGGAAGTGTTTCCTGAGAGAAGGAAAGCTGTGGAACTAATTACAATCCAGTAAAGGGACTGTCTTTTTATGTTTGCAAGTACATATGCTGCATTTTGTTTAATTTGTTCCATGATAAAGATTATGTTCATTTTGTTAAACTCATCCAGTCCCATTACTTCACATACACTAAAAAAAACACAGTAAAGTAATGAAAGTTATAATTTTCTTAAATAAAAATGTATTTCTAATGGGTACTTCCCTCCTCTCACAAGATTAGCTTTTCTCTTTTGGTGCTGCCCTCTATATGGAAACTTTTTTCAGAAACGCATGCCACAAGCCTTCATCCTCTCTCTGTTGGAATCCAAAGTTTCAACACGTCTCTCATGCAAATCATCATGCTTCACTTCTCCACCAACAGGAGAACACTACTATCACATGACACGTGTTACTCTCTCTATGTGCCACTACTGAACTATCACTTTGAAGTTTGGCAGAAGACGTGAGCACCAGAAGATTGTGGGGAGGATGAGTGGGAAGTGTGAGAAGAGGGATGTACCTATCGGAAACACATTTTAATTTAGGAAAATTATAACTTCCGATAACTTACTCTCCCTCCACTCACATGATTAGCTTGAATCTCACACTGAAATGAAGAATGGACTGGTGCAAGAGACTCACAGATGTATCCCCTAAAAGCATCCAGAGGACACCCCCAAAATGAGAGGAACAGATCAGATAATCTGAGGAGGGGTACTGCCCCACATCTGAGCCAGGTATCTCTTTGCCAGGAACATCGAGATGATCAGGAGGACCATATATTGCAGAACATTAAAGGGAGCATATCCGCATTGGAGAGAATAGCTTAGCAATGTAATCTTAAACAGAAATCAGAATCACTCAATCCCACAATGGAAAGTGGGTGAGGATGTGTCCCATGGTGTAGAATGGCTTGGGCATGACGAACTGTACTCGGTAAGTCAACTACATTTAAAACCTCATTTGCTGGGAAATGACATCCTCGCGAGGGTAAGATGAGGATCATACCATCTTCACCTCAAGTCCCAAAGTCATAAGGGAACCTAACACTTGACTCCAAGGACTCCTAGGGTAGACTAATGCCAGGGATCCGGGAATGTGTCATCCAGAATCTGAGGGAAGTCAATTACATGCACTCAATCCCCGCGACTGTGAGGCCAGCCCAAAATGACCTCAGGAAAGTAACAACCTTGTCATCCAATGAAGATAAACCCAGGAAAGAAGTGGAAACAGGCCACATAGACCTTCTGTGACCCACAACACAGAAAACAAGTTGAGAGGGGGAAGATTGACAACCTAAAACGTGTATGAGGACTTATGTGATTGGTTTCCTCGAACTCCAAAACCTCACTCACTGGCTACCAACATCCACACAAGGGTAGGAGAACGGCACCCAATCGGAGGGGTCAATTGCATTTGGGCATCTCAACTACGGAAAATAGTTACTCATCCAGAGGATTTTGAAACTCCATCTACACAAGCAGAACGTCACTGCCCTACTCTGAACTGAATGGTTATAGCCATCTTTGTGGAACCCATCCAGCAGGTTGCCTCCATGGTCAACTACCCCAGCAGCTTTGAACTGGTAAGTGGTAAGGACTCCTGTACTCCACTAGAAGAAAGGGAGAAAAGTGTGGTGGAAAGAAAGTGCAGTGGGTGATCATAAAACCCTATTTTGAAAAGCAGACCACAGCGATTTATTCAATCTAAGCATGGCTGGGATTGGCAACAATCCCCTTCTTCTTTATTCATGCCATTCATGGGTAGTATGGTCTGGAATGGGCATGTTATGATGCAATTATCATGAGAAATTTACACTCTAGTGATCTTGTGAAACACCCTATCTCAAAGGTGAGTGTACATAGCCATGGAAAATGTATAAGAATCAACATACAGAATACATGGTCTGGCACCACTCGCCACAGAGCAGGATCCAAAGTGAAGCTGAAGCAGGGGCACCTGAAAGAAAAGAAAGCATCAGTGAGGACTTACCTTGTGTCACAGCCACGCCAAAGTCTGTAGAATAGCCTCAGGCGGCAGGCGATACCCCGAGTAAGCAGAAACAGCGATGTGGAGTAGGTAGTGGGACATGAATGTTTGCGGAGTCGTCCACATGCCGATCTTAGAATCTCTTCCAATGGCTGATGAAGACGAGAGGCAAGGTAAAAGAGCAGGTGACAGATTTGATGTGAAGAAACATGAAAAAGGAAGGAGACAAGAAGGAATAGACCAACTGGATCAAACATCGAACCCAATTGGTCAAGGTAACCAGGGGAAGATCACAGGAAGAGGAAGGTTGCCAAGGGATAAAAAAAGGTGGGAATGAGAACACTGGAAGGAAGCCATGTGAGCAATATAACAATGGAAGGCACAGACAGGACGGAAGAGTCTATCTGGATCAGGACGAGGGTAGAAATGAGATATAGAAGATAGGCAGATAGGAGAAAAGGAGAACTGACCTTCTCAAGCTGCTGAGGTCTTGGAAAGGAAAGCATGATCTGGATAAAGGATAAGGTAGGAGGAGTGGTATAAGGTCCTGGTGATGTCGAGGGCAAAAATATCCAACCTACAATGCCTGCAGGCCAGGAGGAGGAGGAAATACAGCTTTTAAGAGAGGTAAAACAGGGAGCACATAGACAGAGGTTTGAACAGAAACAAAGTGAGGGCATGAAGGACCATGTTAATGTCCAAGTCTGGGAGCAACAGCTGCCTCAGTGGCCAACAGAACCAGAAGAAACGGATCAACATGGAAATTGCAGGGGAAGCAATAACCCTGTGGAAGCAGGAGAAACTGAATGTATGGTACATGACACACCATCAAACTATTGTGATGTGTGTGGGCCCAATAAAGAATATCCATAGTGAAAAAACATAGGGATCTGGACCAGGTTCCACCTTGGTTATTGATATAAGCCACCACCAAGAGATTATTTGTGATTGATGGTGGTGGCAAAGGCATTGATATGGGGCATATCCAGATGCAGACAGAGCCACCAAAAAACAGCAGGATGCAGGGACCACTCCATGGGATAAACGTGATCTGGTCGGGAAAGATGATTGGATACAAGATTGCAAGCACCCGGTACATGATACACCATCAAACTATTGTGATATGTGTGGGCCCAATAAAGAATATCCATAGTGAAAAAACATAGGGATCTGGACCAGGTGCCACCTTGGTTATTGATATAAGCTACCATGGTAGAATTGTTGGAATGGATCATAACCAACCAGTGGCTGGCAAGAGAAAGAAAGTGATCCAAAGCCCAATGAACAGTGAGAAGCTTGAGAACATTAATGTGAAGAGAACTCTTCTCCACAGAATAATGACCCAAAACCTCCTGGTGATCCATCCAGGCACTCCAGCCCTGAAGGGATGCATGCATGAACAGATGTAAATCTGACTGCATAGGAGGAAGCAGGACCCCCTCTGACACGTGGGCCCTGTTCAACCACCAATGGAGATTGTCTACAAGGGATGAGGGAAGGGATATAGAAGTATTGAAGGGATCCCTTGCAAGATTCCATTGATTGTGAAGAATCTGCTGAAGAAACCACATATGGGCTCTGGCCAGGGGTATGAGAGGGTCATGGAGGACCACATTCCCAAAAGTAATAGAACCTTGTGAGTTGTAAGTGAGGGAACAGACAGGGATTTCTGAACGGCCCATTCCATAGAATAGAGCCGAAGAGGAGAAGGTTGGGCCCAACTGCGATGGGTGTTGAAGAAAACATTCAAATGGATAAGGTATTGGGTAAAACAAAGGAAAGACTTTTCTAACATGACCAACCAGCTCACCCGCGCAGCTACGGCCAGGAGCTGACGAGTGTGACAGTCCGATTCCCATTGGAATAAGCAAGAAGAAGCTAGTTATCCATATAAACATGGAAGCGCAACCCCATGGCATGAATATGTTGATCAAAGGAGTGGACCACACAACAAACCACTTATGGTGCTGAGGCTAGGCTGAAAGGTGAGGCATGAAACTGGTACACAACCCACAATGGACAAACCGAATATATGGACGGGAACGATCTGCTACAGCAATGTGTAGGTAAGCATTGGAAATGTCCAACTTGGTCATCCAAAGACCTGGAGAAAATGCCCACCGAAGAGATTGATATGTCTCCATGGTAAAGCAAGGAGTGTGAACATACTGATTGAGATGGGATAAATCGATGACAGGACACCAGTTCCCAGTCTTCTTGGGAACCACAAACAGGCAGAAGTAAAAATTCTCCTGAACCTGGTGGAACTGGTTCAATCGCCTGTTGTCCGATGAGGTCCTGAACTGCCACTGACAGATGCTGGCATGTCAAGGGACCCTGAGAAGAAGGGAAGGAAACGGGAACATGTATAATGGAGGAAGAGAGAGAAAGGAGATTATGTCTCCCTCCAAGAGCACCTTGTGAACCCAGACATCAGTGAAAAAAGATCTCCACAGATGAAAGAAGTTCAGGAGACGAGTCCCCATTGGGCCCGAATTATGTGTCGTCAAGTAAATCGCCGAACCATGGCACCGTGGGATGGTGGGACAGAAAAGGTCGGGGGGACAAGAATCAGTGCCATGGTTGGTCCTGACTGTGACAAACAAGCTACCAATTTAGTAAGGGTAGAATGTTGATGGGCCGAGGCCACCTGCAATTCCAGACTCAGGAACCGATTCAAACAAATAATGCCACAAAACCGGTGCCATGTGGAAGTGCCTCAGATAAGGAGCCTGGAGATGGGTATGGGCCAAAACTGCATCTCTGGCGCAAGAGGTCCCAACAACAAACAAACCATGTTTGAAGCACAAGAGCCGAAGACGACAGACGAGCCAACATAAATGTAAGGATAGAGAGGATTTCAGCAGAAAACCCCTCAGGGTTCCTGTGAAGAGCCTCTAACAGAAGGTGAAGGGAGGAAAGGTACTTTAACAGGGTCATGAGTGTGAGATGAAGGTGAGAAAGTTGAGCTTGAGTAAGTTAGACAGGGTAATGCGGGTTCACCCCCCTAAACAGGTAGAACCAATCCCAACAACTGTTGGTTGAGAAAAGGACAGTCTGCCCAATGATAAGCAAGGATGGACTGATCTGAAGTCCATAGGGGACCAGGTATACTAATGCCCTCCTCCAGCTTAGAGACAAATCAGTCCACGTGAACCCTAATATCAGAGAGGATGGGGTAATACTAAGTAGGGTTGGGAAATTGTTTCATGTAAGATAAAAGGTCTAGGATCATAGAAACAGGAGTAAGAAACAAAACATCACATACCTGAGAGATAAAGTCTGAAAAAACCGATGACGGATGAGCTGAATCATCAGGTAGTGAATGGAATCATGTGGCAAACTCCAGGGGAGGATGGAACAAATGATCGAAATCGTTTTCAGCTCGGCCCGGGCCAAACGGATTACCTACCACTGAAAATACAGCATCAGACACTGGCAAAGTACCTGAAGTGGTGACTGTAACTTCTGAATTCATAAGTGGGAAACATGAGGAAGTAATGTTATATTAAAATATTAATTTCACAACTGTGAAGTGTAGTGAATAAAGTTAAGAAAATATAAAAAAATAAAAATAAACCATTTCAAGGTAACTGAACAATGTAAAAAAGAATGTCTTAACTCGACAGCTGCCAAACGAGAAGTGATGATTCAGTAGTGGCGCATTGTGGGAGTAACATGCATCACATGATAATAACGCTCTCCTATTGGTGGAGAGGTGATGTATGATGATTTGCATGGCAGATGAGTTGGAACTTTGGATTCCAACAGAGGGAGGATGAAGGCTTGTGGCATGCGTTTCTGAAAAAGGTTTGCATACAGAGGACAGTACAAAACAAGAAGAGCTAATCTTGTGAGAAGAGGAGGAGTACCTTATCTGAATACAGATTACTCTCCTTATTTTCTGAATAAATTGGCTGTTATTAACAGGTTTAATTGCCTAATGTTTGTCAGGAAATCAGTTTCTACTTGAAACTACTACACACATTTATTACAAATAATTTTTGTAACATAACATTAAACAAAATTAAATTTGTAGTTTTATGAAGATATGACATATCATATCTTGCCCTTCCATAACTAGTGATGAATATATTTTTAATTAAGCATATTCAGGTAAATTTTAATATACTTTTGTGCAAAATGACTCTCTTGTAAGCCAGAATGTGGGAATGTCTTAAATTTACACCAACCCTCTACCCCAAGTATAAATTACAATACCATAATGGTTGTTCTATAGGCTTGTACTTGCTTGGTTCTATTTCCAAGCCCTGCTCTCCTAAAGAGTGGTCATACCTTTTTCAAAGATTGGTACAGAAACTTGTTCAAGTTAGTACCAGTTGGGAGTATATTTACCTTAAATAAGTTTACATAGAATGATCATAAGGGGCTGGCAGATGGATGACTGCAGAATCAGAATTGGGAGATATTAACATGACTAATCTTAGTAAGAAAATGGTAAGTGAACAACTTTAGAATCTGTATTGGGATACTTTAACACCTTAGCAAGGTATTGGTAAAAATATGACAATGGAATCTGTAATAAAAGTCTTCAAAATAATCTCACTTGAGTAAGAGCTTGGTGAATGGCCTTATATTTCTGATTTATGTGTCTAGCTTCTGACATTTTCAATTGAATGGTTTCATATCTATTTTCAAGCTCTTCCAGCCACTGAAATGAGAAATATAGAAATATTTTGTAAGTCCTACATGTAAAAATACAAAACAAAGTTTAAGTACATGATAATACTTTATTGTTAATATATATACAAAGAAAAGTTGCAATTTAATTCAACATATCACACATATGTATATGAAATTCATTTTAATTTGCATTGTATATATATTGGGGTGAATCAAAGTATACAGTTCATCACTAACATTATGAAAAAATCTCCAGAAGTAACAATAGTCAATCCATGAGACAAGGAAATTATTGGTCATCTTTTATATTAGGCTGTAAGAAACAGTTATGTGCAATAAAAAAAATAAAATGCCTGATCGAGAAAGATAGCAACAACAAAAATGGGTTAATTCACAACTATTTATTGGGCATTCCAAGAGATTTTATGCTTATTTTATGCTCGTAATTTATCATTTTACCTCCCAATAGAACAGACTTGTTTATTATCTTCCTGCGATTAGCTATTCTATTGGATAACTACCAAGAAATAGAACTATTTGTTTTTGTTAATTTCCAACTATACTCCCCCCCCCCCAATACTGTCAATCCTATTTGATATCTTGTCTGAAAATGTTTGTTTTTTCATATTTTTTCTACTAAAGAGGAGGAAAATGGTAGGAATCATATCATAGACGTATCCATTTAAATATTTTATAGGAAGGAACATACTTCTCTAATAAACTTTTAACTGGGATTGCTAGACACATCAGAATAAAAAACAACAAAAAAACTGAAGGTCTTGCAATACAGACCATGAAAATAAACTGTCATCATGGTGATTTAATTACCAAGCAGCCAGGAGTATGATCTCAAGATGCTAACCTTAGAGAAAAGTAGGATCAATACTGAGAGTAGAATAGATATCTACAAAGTATCCTAAACACCACTGCTGAGACATATGCAATTAAACCCTAGCTATCCATGATGGTCCAGAAAAATGGTATTCCAAGGAACACCAACTGACAACATCTAGTATAAAGAGGTGAAAACATGTAAAATTAGAGATTTAATTCTGATGCATATGAGAAAATAGTGCAATAGGACAACATATAGTAACAACTTATCCCAAAGTAGGTGTGCATGGAAAAGGCCAGTTTAGCCTGTCCAAAGATGGTGTAGAAAAACAAATGCCAATATCCCAAGAAGGAATCCATTAAATCTAAAAGCAAAAGCAAATATCCCATGGTAAAATTGCATGGGTTCCAGGAAAAATGACAATGTATCTATAAACTATCAACACAAAAACACACATTTGTAGAAAGCTAGCTACTTAACACAAGTGATCTTACTGTTATGATATCCAAGTACAAAGATGTTCAAAAGAACATTGTAAGTACCTGTAATATAGCAGGTTCCAGAACTTTAATATAAAGAATACTTTCAAACATGGACAGCAAAGGAAAAAACAAGCAAGCACATGAGAACAATGGAACAAACGTTTTATTCACAAGTACAGATATAATGGAATGGAATCTTTACCATTACTTGCTGCTTCAATGTCTATTATATGGGCTTCTCTTACTGCTGAAGCAGGAGAGTTAAATGTCTACCTGAGATGAAAACATAAGCAAGAATCATAATGACAGCATACTTTCATGTCAAACAAAAGTCCTACTGCATTGTTACAAGATTACCTATATCAGTGATAATCACCATTATGCATATTCAAGAGCATAAACCCCAACTCAAGCTAACTTGTACTAGTCTCTGTACCATCCCTCAAAATAAATATGACCTCACACCAGATAGGTATGTGACACATAAACAGGTTCAAACAAGCATAAGCCTTCAGAAAAATTGCTGTAGTATGTAACTTCTGTCTAGTCCAGTTTAAAAAGATTTCACTAACTACACACAGAACATCCACATAAAAATTAAGAAAAAGTTATGTGAACATACCTTAATAAAGAAGTTATTTCTACAAGTTTTGAAATGTTAAAATATTACAGTTCTTTTCCCAGCACCCCTCTCATTATCTGAGGACTTTCCTAGGTCTGTACCTTAAAATTAAATTAAAGATCAAAATTACAATTTAAATATCAAGATTGTAACTTCCTGTAATCCCTTTCTTGGACTACACACATGAAACATGACAGCTACACATACACAACAAATGGAATTTAAATGTAAAGGCTCAAACAGCTATTCAAGATAAAATCAATGTAAATTATCAAATAAAGCAAAATCAAATAAACTAAGAAAATGAAAATGAAGATATGGAGAGTTGGGTATGCTATATTAAAACAATTTTGAATATGCAAATTTGCAGGTCGTGTGACAACCACAGCTCATATAAAGTCACAGCAGAATGGATTGTAACATAACTACATTTTGACATTCTTTGCTATTCATAGGTAGTGTGATACCACCAAAAACTGATTGCTTTTGGGAAGGGTATGTACTATGTAACAGCTCTTTTCAATACAAAATATTCATACATTAAGATTATAAAGATGTGTTCAAATTTGGGACATACAATTTCAAAGATAAAGACATCCTTTGTACTTAATGATACTAGAAAACTGAAGAATATGGATGAACTTGAAGTACCAGTATTATCCAGAAAAAGAGCTGCATTAAGTCTTACACCAGCAGTGGTAAACAAAATGCAAAATCTTGTAACATGTGAGGCTGGAATCCACAAACACAAAGATCAGTGGCAAAAGCCATTCATGTGCCACAGGTAAGACTGTGAAACATAATCAAGAAGGAACTAGAATAAAACTGGTATTCATGTTGTTTCATACAAAGACATACTGGTAAAGTTGATGGATGCAACACCTATGAACTTCTGGACTGTTTATACGGGCACTGGAAACTGTCTTTGTACAACAGAAAGATTATTAAAAGCAAAATACTGAATGTGATCATAATGTTTCTTGCATGACCTGTCTTGAAATGAAGTAAACCGACACCATTTATTTTCCATTGACATAAATAAAAACTCAGCATTTTTTTAATTATGTTTTTTGTTCTTATAGTTTGACAGTCAGCTTGAGTTAGAATTTATAATCATAAGTAGATACAATTTCCAATGATGGTGGTGTTTACTCAATTTTTTCTTAATTTTTGCTTCTTCTAAAGTTGACAGCATCAAGCATAGTATTCAAAAGAAGAGAGTGATTTCATTTTTACACTATGTTCTTTATGACATGTTGGCTTATTTTGTTTCTTTGTGACCTTTTGGGTCTCTATAGGCTTACAATACACTAGGTCCTCAGAAAAATAAAGAATTAGAATACTCATTGAAAATAATGCTTCAGTTTCACTGGAGAAAAAATTTAAACATGTCCTGACATTAATTTTATTCACAGGTTTATGTAACAGAAAAAAATAGAAATAATGCAATACAAAACTGATTAGAACAGAAAGTTATAAGTGAAGCCAAGATTACTTAAGTATCTTAGTATCTTTTTCTCGAATAGTGGGCAGGTGTTAGAACATTGAAAGTTGGCTATTGTTACTCTTCTTTCCAAGGGAGGTGATAACAATTGTCACAGTACTTATAGGCCTATTAGTCTTATGTCAGTTGTAGGAAAAGTTTTTGAAAGTTGGATAAAAGATGCTTTGCAAAGTAATTTAAAGAAATTAAACATTTTGTAGGATAGTTAGCACAGCTTTACTAGGAGAAAATCTTGCTTACAAGGGAGATGGATGCAACACCTATGAACTTTTGGACTGTTTTTTTGAAGAGGTTACTGGTTATGTATATGAAGGTACGGGTATGGATTTGATGTATCTGAATTTTCAGAAAGCATTTGACAAGATGCTAAATAAAAGGCTTGTTAAAAAAGTTATATCTGTAGGTGTGGGGAATAGTTTGGCTCATTGGATAGAAAATTGGCTAGATGGTAGAAAACAGAGATTTCTTATAAATGGAATTCAATCAAACTGGGTTTATGTCATGAGTGGGATACCTCAGTGCTCTGTTAGGACCTTTGCTATTTTTGATTTTCATCAATAGATGAAGGAATGGTCAACAGATTAAGTAAATTTGCTGATGACATTAAAGTTTTTGGTGTTGCTGGCTGTGAGAAAGATGCTGCTGCTTTACAAAAAAATTTGATTATTTGGTGAGTTGGGCAAATAAATGGTAAATGGCTTTTAATAATAATAAATGAAATATAACACATGTGGGATATCACAGTTTGAATAATTTTAATGGGAATAACCTTAACAGTTTTATGAAAGAAAATTTTCTTGGTATAATGACTGATCACCCTCTTAAGCCAACAAAGCAATGTGCTGTTGCTTGTGGTATGGCAAATAGGATTTTATGTTATATCTATGGAAATACTGAAAACACATCTGAAGATTTTATAGTATCATTGTATAATTCATTGGTTATGCCACATTTGAAGTACTGTATTCAGTCTTGAGCTCCTTACCTTAGAAATGACATTGAATTGTTGGAAAGAGTTCAGAGGAGGACTACTAAGTTGATACCTGGGATAGAAAGGGTGTCATACAAGGATAGGTTAAGATTTGTGAATATTTTCTGTTGAAGAGAGTTAGAGATTGAGATGTTGAGATTGTTAAGGGAATTAATAGTGTTGATGACTATGGGACTCAAACATAAGCTTGGGAAGGGTAGGAGTCATTTTCAGCTAAGATGGTTTTATTTTTCTAACAGGGTGGTTGACCTTTGGAATTGGTTAATTTAAGAGAAAGTTTGATAAGTATTTGAATGATAAGGGCTGGCATTGAGTAATTGCCATGTAATGTACAATGATTTTCTGGTCATAAATGTAAAACTGCTTGAAGTTAGCCTAATCTTACAGCCATGTCTTTTAATAATGAGAAAATTTCTACTATAAGTCTAACTTTAACATCTTTTTAATGGTGTAGAGAGGTGACTACCATATCCACAACTGGTTGTAGATGGTGAGTTGTAATAGGTTTGGGGGACATTGTGGGTTAAAGCACCCAATACCTAATCCCTGGTTGATCTTGTTGATCTGTTTTGTTGTTCATTTGTAGTTTTTGGTTTATGTCAGATAGGTGGGATATCCCTAATGTTTTTGGGAGCTATTGCCACAGAAGTTTTCTGTAAAAACCCCCACCCACCATATTCTCCAGATATGGCATCATCAGATTACCATTTTTTTTGTTCACTTCAACACCACCTTAATGGGAAAACATATGCAAATGTGGATGGTGTTAAAGAGGGCATTGACATGTTTTTTGCTTGAAACCCAAGTGATTTCTTTAATCAGTGCATTAACAACCTGATTGTAAGATGGAAAAGTATCATCAATAAGAATAGAGACTTTTTCATTTAATAAATGTTTTGTTTTGATATATAAGTTGTTGTGGTTTTTTCATCTTAAAAATGCGACATTAATTTCTTGATGACCTAATATATATATATATATATATGTTTGTTCTACACAATGAATGTGCTTTATTTTTTCTTGTTAAATGTGTAAAATTAATGATTTAAACAATTCCATTATATTGTTTTTTCTGTTTGAAATCCTGTTTTTTTTTAAATTGTATTATCACACGAGTCTTTAAATGATTTTACTTGATAATTACAGATTTCTATGTACTAAAGTGACACTCAAACAGAAGTTATTAATTCATATCAAACTGACCTTTTTTTCCCATTAATTGCATTCTTAGGGGATTATTACTGTTAAACGCAAAAAATATTTTACTATCCAAAGGGGTATCCAATAAAGTTTTAATAGCCTGCAAATTTTGACCAAACAAAGAAAACCAGCAGGTTAAATGTATTCTCAAGACATGTATAGTGCCTTATAAAATCCAGTTAATTGTACCATCAAAATGAACCTGACACTAAAAGCATTAAAGTTTTAAAAATATTCAAAATACATATGCATATGTCTGAAACATCTGTTGAAATAACTAATAATATTAAAGCAAAAGGAGGTCAGAAATGTATTTGCTATTCCACTTTCATTCCATCATGTGTAATGCATTTTTATTGGAATCTCAGTGTATTATGTATTAAAAATATACTTCTAGCCCAAACCTGCGAGTTAGAAATTTGAGATCTGGCTTTATTTGTTGTTCCCTGGCATTTCTTTACTAACTTCTTGTGTTCTTGCTTCAGCTGTAACAGTCTTTGTTGCTTCTGCCAAATAGTGTGTCGGAGAGAGTCCAACTTTTTGGATAGTTCAAATACTTTCTGATCCAAACATTCAGCAGCTGCCTGTGTTTAACAAACAAAAAATAAAATACCATGAATTAAAAATTATTATCCACTAGCTATGTTACAACATATTACTTATTCAAATCTTTTTTCTTTAATAACAATTTGTCATACAAGGAAAACAATAATAAAGTATTTTATTTAAAGTAAAACATTAATTTCTCAGAACTCTTCAAAGGCTGTTTAAGTTCACAACAAAATCCTTATAACTTCAAAATCTTCTTTATAAGGCCCCAGTATTCATAACAATGAAAAAGGAAGGCACCATTGTTTAGCATATTTTACAGTTATCTGCATTAAAAATGATTAAGAGTTCCATCAAAAACATTTCAATATACAGTATATATTATTTAAAAAAAAAATAAGTTTGAGAAAGAACTGCACCAAAATATGTTACATGCTGACAATTTGCACTGACTGGTTGTCATCTAATCAATCTAAACATGCCATGTAATATAAAGCCTATAAAAGTAGAGCAATTTTACTAGTCCATGGGCCAGAAAGTGAAACCCTACCTCAACCCCAAAGGGATTTTGTACACCCACTTTTTTCCTGAACGTTTATAGTACAGAAGGGAAGATTTAACTAGTTTCCTATTATTTATTTGAGCTTTAAGATTTGGAGCTCACTTTTTTATGATTGCCCATTATATTTTAATAGTTTTTTTTTGAAAACTGAAATTGTTAATATTTATTCCTTAAAGACTAATCATCTATACTATAGGTGGATAATATCAATGCAATGTCTACTCAACTAGCTTTACAATGAGTATAAAGTTTGCATTTTATTGGCTTTCCAGTAGATACCAGATGCTTAAATGGTAGCTCTTCCTCATAGAATATCAAGTGAAAAATCACTGTTTTTAATTATTTTTGATTTGTTTTTCTTTTGTTTATTTTTTTGTAGTTAAGCACAAAGCTACACAATGAGTTATTTATTACACAAACCTGTGAATATAACTAATGTCAGGACACGTTTAAATTTATTCCCCAGTCAAATGCAGTATTATTTTCTGTTAGTGTTCTAATTCTTTCTGTTTCTGAGGATATTGCTTATTGTAAACCTATAGAGACCCAAAAGGTCACAAAGAAACAAAATAAACCAACATGTCGTAACAAACATAGTATAAAAATGATAACACTCTCTTCCTTTGACAACTATACTTGATGTCCCTTCATTGTGTTCATGCTTCATCATCAGAAGGTTTTGATGAAGTCATCATAAGATCCCCAGATATCCATGTATTTCTATTACTTCGGTATATTGGGGACAAAATTACACAGGATTTGTATTTTGATACAGGTTTTGGAAATAAATGCAAAATATTGATTGGAATATCAAAACACCTATTCAGAAACATGATCAACATTTACATTCTGACCTCTTAGGACTACATGCCTTTTCCTGGTGTGACACTACCAAGTGCTTTTGTCAGAAAAAAGAAAATCAAGCCATTAAACATGCTCAAGAAATACTAAATCTATAAGACAGTTTTTAGTGAACTAGGTACTTCAAATTCTATACTAAGTTATTCTTTGAAAGAGTTGGAGAAATTTGTGTGCTGTTTGTATGGAAAATCAAAATATACTGATATAAACAAACTTTGGTATGATCGGGCAAGATAAAATATCAGAACTAGAAGTGATCATCTCCTCTATGAGTATGATGGTAGTATTGACTTGTGTCTTTCACCACCATGTAAATCTACTTTGAGAATGTATGTGATGAGGGCCAGTTGTCAGACTTTAATATGGAAAAACATTAATAAATAATTCCCTAACTGGATACTTATGGATGTAAAATTGATGAAAGTGGGAATATCATTTATGATTGGTGTGATTCTTGTCAAATTGGGAAAAATGCAGAAACATTTGTTGCAGATATGATGATTATGATGACAACATAGTCTTCTATAGTTTGGCTGATGATATATTTAAATCGGATGACGAAATAATTGATGATAAAAATATATAAAGCACTATGTTTAGTCTGAATTAAATTCTTTATTGTCCTACAGATCTATTTAGAGTCAGGACTACTTGGCAAATATAATATTACCATGATGAAATATTATGTTGGTTGAGCAAAATTAAATTATTTTTTTCTCCAATAATTTCCCAGTTTTTCTGTTAGATTCAGTTAACTAAGGACTAAACACATCAAATCACTGTTGCAGTTTTATTCTTTACTCCTTTAAAATTGTATTGATACTAAATATTCCATTATTTGATGCATGAATGGACAGAAAATAAGAAAGACACAAATCCTTACATGTATACTGGGTTATAAGAAGTGGTTATGAATAATGGCCTGTACCAGCCTTAAGCTAAAATAAAAACACTGCCAAACAAATGAATTTTTACTTCTAATATAATAATCCTTCAGAAAGATATGGTGTCATGAAATCCCCATGAATTGAGGCCCAAAGACTATACTATGACCAACAGCATTAGTAATGTAAATCTATCCATGGCTCCAAGGTCTGAAATACTGTATGACTGGCATGTAGAAACCAAAGTTTTGGCTGGTCAAGGATACATACTCCATTTGAATAATTGTGACAAGACTTCATGTTTCATTGGGCAAGGTCCCCCAATGGTACAGCAGTATGTCTTCAGATTTACAATGCTAAAAACCAAGTGGGCAGATCACAGATAGCCCATTGTGTAGCTTTGTGCTTAGTTACAAAACAAATAAACAAATCATTGGGTAGGAACTTATATACCTGTAAAACAATGTTCCAAAGCATACAACAAATGTGGTGAAACAATAACGTAACTGCAAAGAGGGCAGTGAAACACTTCCAACCACAGGGAGTAATGTAGGACATTTGGAACAACGTTCCACAATCGTGCATTGATAAACTTTATGAAAGCATGAAAAAATGCTGTAATGTTTTGTGTAAAGGAAAAGGCTCACATACAAAATACTAATGCATCATATCATTTATTCATTTTACTTTTTGTATTTTCTGTTATAATGTTTTATACTGTTAATTAATTAATTCTCCATCTAGGTGTCACTACTTGTTGTTCATGACTTATGTATGTGTATCACTTATGTGTTTCTAGAATTATTTCCATTACTGTATATCTGTTAAAAATACTGATCACTTGAAGGTAATTTACACAGAAGACAATGGTATTAAAAATGGTATTCCTAAGTCTTACTGAGTAGCTGTCAGTTTACAAGTAAAACAGTGATCAGTTAAAATAAACTGGATGTAAGATGTATGTGAATACAAATGAACAAACTTATCACTTAAAACTTTTATGTATGCCTGTGTTTACAAATGAAAAATATCACTCACAACACTTGTGTATCATGTCTGTTTTTTTCAAATACTAATGATTCAAATTTCCTGCATAGCACAAAAATAACCAGTCAGATATTTGTGCAGTAGCTGTATGTGTTTATGTATACAAAACATTGGTCATTTATGAATCTTTTATGTAGCAGCTCACTTTCATTACATAGTGGTGCACGATAGTGCCATGTATTTTCTACTCCCTTAGTTAATAAACACATTTTAACTTTCCTTTTTTCTAGCTCTGTCTGGAACCTCGTCTGCTAATTGGCAATTAGCCAAGATAGGTCACAATGTACAGAAATAGAAAGCTGTCTTTTCTATTGGCAAATCAGATAACGGCCCTTGGTTTTCTCCCTGTTCACTTCAGGGACTCGAGTAAAAGTGAATAGAGGTCACGTATACAATGGCTTAAGTTGTTACTGTACTTTCTAGTATTAAAAGCCAGGTCCTTCCCTGCTAGTCAGATTTTGCAGATATTTTAGATTTTTGCCAAGACTTAAGACTCAAAATTTTTGATAAGATCTGACAAGACATTTAGAACTTTGATACTAGCTATAACTTTTTTTTTTATTTTAGTTTAACTTGAGTTTAGTTTTAATTTTGAAGTTTCATCACACAGAGGACACACACATTTGACTAGCGCGAGAGTGAACTCACTAAGATTTCACTTCTTTTCTCTCTCTCACCAATCCAACAAACTCACAACAAAAACACTTGTATTTTTCGGAATAAACACTGTAGTCGATTACCATTTGGCTTTGAGTCTATCTTCTAGTCAATACTGGTTAGAGATCAGAAAGATACTCAGCCACACTCTATAATCTGGTATCTTATGAACTTCCAATTAGCTGGCCTAATTTACTGCTATGTGGGAAAAACTGTTCTATGGGATGGAAATACCATACATAGAACAATCACCACCCAAAATTCAATTGTAACAGATGTCTCTGTATTCAAATCTAATACAGATCACTCAAACTTTTTGTGTAGAAGCTATGCTTCAAAATACAAAAATGATCACTTGTACCTTTTATGTGTGTGTGTGTAGCACCCATCTGTGTTTACAAATAGTAAATTATCTCTCACAACTCTTGTGCAGCAACTGTATCTATTTATTAACAAAAAGACACTCACCACACAAACTTTTTGTGTATGTAGCAGCTGACTGGCTTTAGAAGTAAAACCCTAATCACTAAAAACCCTTGTGTAACAGTAGTCTGATTTATTCAATTTTAAAATATATTTACATAGAGATGGAGTTTTGTATTTCATAGTGTTATTAAATTTAATTTTTATCTAATAGTTTATGATATGGTAACAAATTGGTTTAAAATCTGAAAATGTAGGGGGTTCTTTCAAATTGAGAATAGGGCCAAATTTCAGCATCCAAAGCAGCCTGGAGAAAACCATATTTGTGTAAAACCTTTTGTGTTTACACATAAAACAGATTTAATTAAAGTCTCATATCTAGTGGGTTTTTTTAGCTAAAGAACCCAAAATCTCAGGTTTTTAAGCAGAAAACTCTTAATAATGATTTCTCATATGTCCTGATTAGCAACTATCTTACAAGAAATCACAAATATAACAAGTTGTATCAGTTATTTGTTTTAAAAAACAAATCATCAAGTTTCCTTTGCTTAGTTTCTCTCTTTGCAGCCTTTAACAAACTTTACTATTGTAACAGGTCAATGTAATTTAGCATGTATATGTCTAAATGATACTTGTACTGAAGTATTTCAAACCTGTGTATATTCAACATTAAATGATAAATGCAGTACATGAGACTAAAATAATTACCATTAAGTAGCCTTCATAATTAAAATATGCCATTCTCTGATAAAGAACTTATTTATCACAATGTAACATAGTGCAGGACATCATGGACTATGGTAGTAACTTGCTTAACACAATTAATGTAATAGAACTGTCACAAGGAGTCCTTACTTGAAGGACATCACCTTGTCCTAATCATAATATGAGCATACTTAAAGTACATCAATTAACATGAATGTAATTTCCTTTTCCTACTGTCTACTTATTAATTGTAAGAGAATTAACTAACAAGTAACATAGTTTATTTTATGTATAAACAAACTTATTTATTTCAACATCTATTCACAGCTGGTGTATAACTCAGGAAACTAAAAAAGATTGTATCAATGTCTCTTGTGTCACATCAAACATAAGAAGTAGCTTACATATATTAATTTTTTCACTGGTTTGTAAATATAAGTTTAATAAAATGAGCATCTGTTTGTGTTAGATTAGTGTATACCAAGAGTGGGTTCCTTGGGACATACTGTCTTCACTTAGGTGATGAAAATAAAACACATTAAAGTATCTTACTTGTGGTACAATATGAAACAATGAAAGTAACTCACTCACTTGTCCCATTTTATTTTTCATTACAGCTGCTTCTTTTCGATGATAATATAGTGATCTTTTTATGACCTGTTCATCACTCTGTCCAAACAAAGAAAATTCCACTATTATAAGCATGTATCTACGTTTTTAAAATTATTATGGAACTTACAACGTTATTACCATTTGATTATAAGAATCTTTTTAGTTTAATGTGTTGTAGTATTAAGACTCTCCCACCTCTTCCCATTCACCAATTTGTGTAATATCTCATGATCAGTTTATATCTAACTAATTATCTAAATATTTGGGATGTCTTTCTAATAATTAAAATCATACACGTGTATTTGCATTGCAACAGAACCTCTACAAAACTGTTCTTTTACTACAGATTCTTTCTTATAAAAACAACTAGATTTTTGAAGGATGGGGGCCATCAAGGGGTATTTATGTACATTAATGCATTGTAATAAGAAAAATGTGGGTTACAAATACCAAAAAATAATTACTTGTAGTTTAAATGTACCATTGAATGCTATTATAAAACTAGTATGGAAATAAATAGAAAGTATTTAACATCTGTCTCATGAGGAGGAGGAAACTTGGTGTATTGTACATTCCTGTGTTAGTCAAGTGTACCATTGTAGTTTGTATCAAATAAAGGACGATGAAAATTGGGCCACCACATCATTATGAACAGATATATTGGTAATTACTTTCTAATGATAGTTCATACTTATCCCACCAAAAAACTATCAAGTGACTTAGTATACCTGAGTGTGATTGGACATTACAGATTGCTACTGTAAGAAAAATAAAATGCTAAAATTTGGAAAAACCTGAAAGAAAGGGGACTAATATTCCAGAAACAATGCAAAATAATCAAAGAAGACATAAGATATGAACACTTAAAAGCTGTGGGGTCTCTAGAGTAGGTGTATTGTATAATAATATATCTATGTGATACACACTTATAAGGGTTATACAGTTAGATATAATTATTGTTTGTTTATGTTGCTTGGAAGGTTGAATTGCCCCATTAAGAAATATAACCTGTCCCAAGAGTGGAAATCCTAGAGGAAAGAAAGTATATCTACCAATAAAATAAACTAAAATTTAAGATGATATAAAAAGGGGGAGTTAATGAGCTAGAAAGCAGATGATATGGTGTCTAAGTGCAATTGCATAACACATAAATATTACATATGGACAAAATATCCTTTCAGTCACGTCTTTAAAAGAAGAATAAAATGTTGTCATTCAGAACAAAGCCAAAAACCTGTCTCTTGAGATCAAACTTGGATTTCACATCAAAGACTGGTATTACCTAAATTAAAATCATAATTGTATAGAAGTTTTAAATAAGGCACACCACTTTTTGAGGTTAAGAATTTTCAACTTCTTCAGAAAAATTGAAACCATAATATCACTGACAAGAGATAAAAAAAGACAGTCCCTCTATTTTCTTTCAATCAAACAGAAAAAGAAACCTCTAACAACCAATGGAATGTATCAGTAAAAACCATATAATACTGCACTGTAATCTGTCAGAGTTCATATGAAAATTTAAGAGATTATGAAATAAAAAGAAATTCAATTACCCTCCCCAGCTTCCAAAGTGACAAGATAAAAGTTTAAAGAACACTGCCGATCCTTCCCAGACACAATATGAAAAGAGTCAAGGGTATAAAATCTGAAGGAAAGAATCCATAGAAACCAATTTCACATTAAAAAAAATTCAAAGGTTAAGAAAAATGAAGATAATGTTTGATGCTTAAGAATCAACACAATGTCTTGTTAAGGAAAGGGCTTAAAATATTTTGGAAATGCTTGAAAGTAGAAGTTGATGAAAACCCAAATTGTTGAAGCAAACATATAAGATGTGGAATATTAGAAAAACAGGGAATCTAATAACCCAACATTTTGAGTGATGTATTTTTAAAGAAATCATGTCCTTTTTACAGTATACCAGATAGTGGTAATCCACAAAATCTAAAGTCAAACATCAAAGTAAATGATTAATGCCCATTTTCAGGACAAAAGAACAAAGAACACAGTCATACTCAACAGAAATAAAACTGTGAATCAAAGGTTGAGTTAAATAGAAATGTTTTACTAAACACTCCCAATTTAAAAATAATCAATAATAAGCAGGAACCTAAAAACGTATATTTGTTTTTAATAACAAAGCTAAACAATGAGTTACTTGTGCTCTGTCCACTACAGAGAATTAAACCCTGGATTTTGATGTTGTAAATATGTAAACTTAGTGCTGACCCATTGGAGGACTAGTATGAAGGAATTATACATTTCAGAAAGGGTTCTTCATGTATGGAAGATTTTAGGGTCATTGCTTATTTGGCAATGAGTACTACAAAATACTTTAAAATATGATGTAAAGGAACAAATAAAAGTGGCTTAGTACATATCAATAATACATCAAAAATATTATCCTGATTATTTAAATTAATTAATTTAAAATACTACTTTTAAAAAAAAATGTTTATTTTTTTTTCTCAAGTTACTGATTAATTTTGTACAAACCTTAAAAATCTAGATTTAAAAAAAAATGTATATACATATACCTTTAACTTACTGTTTCAGCCTTGTGGAGCTGTCTTTGCAAACTTATTAGCTCTTGTCTTAAAGTTGTAATTTTTGCTTTATTTTGTTCTTTTTCCTCTTCCCTCATTTCTTGAGCAGCTCGTTGCTCTCCCTCTTGAAGAGTCATGAACAGACACATTTTTAAGTAATTTTTGTTGCAAGTAAAGGAAAAAATTATATGTCAGTAAATATAATTAACCTCAAACCAAACAATTTTGGCATAATGCTTTCCACAACTTGTGATTCTACTTTTATAGATAAAGACAACTGTAAACTAGCTTCTACTTAACTAATACATAAAAATTTACTTTCAGTATCCAACTGCAATTAAATAAGTAGCTTACTAGATATGTAGCCACATGTAATTCATCTATATTGTACTGATGACTGAAGCTTGACTCATTCTGCTACAACTTTGTAACCTAATCCTATCAAAACTGTATGATAAAACTAAAACTACACATTAATGACATGTATCAATAGAAGGGTACAATAAAATGCAGCTCCATATCATATATCCATGTTTTTCTTCTCACATCTTGTGTAACAACACTCATTCAAGAATCTAATCAACATTAAACTTTCATTACTAGAAACAGCTCAGAAGAGTTTACTCCCATTTAGTCTACTCTAAAGTAATCATATACCAAATTAAATGTTTTATATTTTTTCTGGAAAATTGGTATGCTACTTTATTGTAAATGGGAAAACTTTAAAGCAGTATTATAATTTCTTGAGAACAAGTAAGTTTTTTTATGTGATATATTTGTAGTGAATATGTACATGTACATGAAAATATCAATATGTGAATGTTTTAAGTCTATTGCATCGTACTGTAAACAGTACATATACAAAAATGTTTTGTTTCTAAACCTTTGCCAAAGTGATTTTTGTATCTAAACCTCATTCTATATTTGACAACCTGATGATTGTATTTTTTTGGTTTATTCCCATTTAGTCTATTGCCAATGGGAGTAGATGAACTGTTGTGTTACTCTTTGAAGGTGCTGAGAACAAGGATAAACATCAGGAAATTCCAGCATGTGCTGAAGCACCAGAAGAAGCATTAACTGAAAAAATTAGTGTCAACAGCAAGAAAAACAGAATGAGTGATAAAATCCAAAGCCAATAAGATCAAAGTTTAAATATTTATCATCTAAATAAATGTAAAACAATAAAATATGAATAATACTACACAGTAGCACATGTTCCAGATTAAAAAATGATCTTAAAGGTTTATGTAGAACAGTCATGCATGTTCACACACAAGTCAGAAGGCTATCAATAGGAGAGAAAAGTTTGATACTGAAAGAGACTCTCACAAACAAACAGATGACAGGCTTAATACAAAAAAGAAAACATTCTCACCTAAAAGCTGAATGTGTTGCTTAAAAGCATCAGTTTTAGAGAATATTTGAGACTTATGCAATCTGGGATAGGTTGCTACAGGTCGACTGCTCCGTTCCATACTTAAATATTTCTCCAACAAATGAATTTACAAGCTAAACCAGAAACATATATTTAAAATATATTAAACACTTATTATTTACAATACTATCATATACTACTAACTCAATTTAAAAACAGTTCACAATTGAATTATTTTAATTGAAAAATTAGCAATAGCAGTCTAATATTCATATTCTAATGGTGTACTGTCTATTTAATTGATATAGTTTCCAGCAAATTGCAATTTAACCGAAATACTGCAAAACTGGTAGGAAGAGATTAACATCTTACAATTAACAATACATAAATTACTTAACTGCTAATATTCTGTAGTAGATCTTAAATAACAATACAATTTATCTTCTCAGGTGTTTCATCTTGCAGTTATAGTGCATGTTGTCAAAATATCATCAGAATCCTGGACACAACAAAACAAAACATTTTAGGGTTTCTTATAATCTTTTTTAAATGGAACATTCAAAGTATGGGTACATAATACAATATCACACATTTCTATAAGTGTTATAATATACAAATTATACAGAAAAAAAGCTATTTTGCATTGTAGAAATTAATTATATTAATTATTAGGCCTCAAAACTATCCAAAGATAAAACCCAACCTTCGTATATATAGGAACTTAAGCAGTTTCACGAATTCTATAAGCTAGTAAATGTTGACAACAAGAATACAATCCAATACCCTACTAGGTTTTCTATCACACTGACTCCATGTAAATAATAAGAATGATTTTTAAGTCAACACTTTTTTGAAATGGGAACTAATGCTCCTGATATTATATTAGTTCAAGTTAAAAAGTCTGTTTTTTATCAAAATGTATAAGAGTATGAAGTTTATTTCAAAACTAATTCATACAAGTTCAATATTCCTATTTAAATATAGCTAATTTATACAAAAGTAAAACCAATGAGTCGAATAGTATGCACAAAGTTTGAGAATCTATCATTTAGTGTTATTAAATATTGCACCTTTAAGTCACAAATTTACTAAATCTCAGTTTTGTTTAAAGATCCCCTTCACAGATACTTTGGTATTATTTATCATAAGTAAAAAATAAAAATACTGAATCCTAATGAAGATTCTTGTTTATCATTAAGGGTGTAATACTCATAAGTATTGATAATCATCTTACTTGCATCTCAGCTTTTCTTTAGTTTGTTGCCATACTCGAGCTCAGTGGTACAATGCTTTGCTGTTCTGTAGTACATATATTAAGTACAATAATTCAGAATATAATATAAAAACATCAGTTATTTTAATAAAAGATCAGAACATGTTCATATTGTTGCTTGTAAAGGATTAACCAGGAAACTGCAGTACATCATTTTACTTTTTGAATTCTTATGGTTACTAGTGAAAACCAATCATTCACCAGTGGTAACTATATATACCACTACAGTGACAAAGATAAACCTGTGGTAATAAGAATTGCCAAATAATAAGTGCTAATACTGTTATAAACTCAGTATTACACTGAACATAAATTAATAAAATTTATGTTAACAAACAAACAAAATACATTCATACTTTTTACTTTGAGTGACTATATTTTCAAAATGCTATTTTTTTTTCATAGCAATGTTCAAAAGACCTGTATATAATAATTTTTTGAAAATATATTAGAACAACACAAAAGCTACAGTCCAAAGAACATATATTAACAAAATTGTATTCATCTGAACTTTTCCACTTAAACATTTTTGATAATTTCAAAACATTTATTTCAAGTCGTATTATTAGAGTTCACACAATAAATATTAGTACTTTAAGTTTTACAGTAATTGTAAGCAGTATGGTATTTCAAAATGGTTCTTGTTTTACTCATAGTCATAAAGATAACAATTAACCTATTTTATATATTTACTATTCTTTGTTAAAATTTAATAAATGATCATAAAAAGTT